AGGGGCAGGGGGCAGGTGGGCAGGCAGGAACGGGAGGTGTGGGGCGTGGCGGTGGGTCCGGCCAGGAGCTCAGAGGGCCGGGCTGGCAGGCGGCCAGCCCCAATTTTTAACTGGCTGGGACCTGGATGCGGCGGGAGCTGGCGGCGGCGGCCTGGGGCTGACTGCGTGCCGCGGCTCACCGCATACTTGCAGAGGAAGAACATGGGGAAGACGTTGGTCCTGGCGGTGGGGGAGAGGGGGAGGGGAGAGGGGTGGGGAGAGGTGCTTGAGGGCACGGCAGCCCAGGAGCAGGGCATTTCGAATGGCCTCAGCCACGCAGGCACATCTGTTCATGTAGATGCGTTGGCGCCCACCGAAAGGTGTCGGACACAATCTCCTCGCCCGTCTCCTGGATGCTGGGCACCACGTACTGCAGGCTTGCAGGGGACAGCCAGGGCCCGTGGCTGGCGGCCACGCCTTGAGCCTTGGCAGAAAGGACAGACCACAAAGGATGAAAGAAGAAAGCAAGAAAGAAAGCTCGCTTGCGAACAGCCCGATGCTGCAGCGGGCGGGGGGCGCCCACCTGGATGGCGGCGTTGTTCACCAGCACATCCACCCTGCCATACTTCTCCAGCACCTGCAACAGGGGGCAGGGGGGCACAGGACGCAGGCACCTTTCCAATCTGCTGAGCACGGGCGCGCTCAACCAGGCGTGGCAGCACAGCGTGGGGGTGTGGCGAGGCACGCCAGATGGCTTCCAACACAGCACCCCCGGGGCCCCAGTCCCAGCCCTTCTCGAGTGCGGCCGCTCCACTGCTGCCAGAGTGGGTGGGAGGTGCACCCGCGCTGAGCTGAAGGGGTGCGCCTTCGGAGGAAAGCGGAACTGAAAAGGGACAGGCGCTGTGGAGCCAGCCAGCGCCAGCCAGCTGTTGCTCGTCTGGTGCAGGGCTGAGGTGGCATGCCGCCGCGCTCGCGAGCTCCGCTGGGCTGCCAGAGCCAGGCGCTTGCATAGTGCGGCGGACAGCCGCCGCGACAGCGGCACGCGGTGCCAGCACGCGTCAGGCAAAGTAGAGGCGGGCAGCAGCGCTGCCGGCGGCCGCCTGCCTGATCCACAATCTTCTTGCAGGCCGCCTCCCCCTCCGACAGGTCAGCAGCGATGAGCAGCGCCTCGCTGCCCTCCGCCTCAATCAGCTGGCGGGCGTGGTCGGCGTCCTGCGGGGGCACGGGCTCGGCGGCGGCGGCGGCGGCAACACGGCGGCAGCCTTGTGGGGTGGTGTAGTGTGGCGGCGGCAGGCCGCGGCGCGTGCTGCTGGGCGCTGGATGTGCAGGCAGGTCGAGGGCATTCAGCCAGGCTGGGACAGGGCCTGTACGCCGGACAAGCCACCAGCCAAACAGGCCGCAGCTGCCATGCACATGTGTGTGCGTGGGTGAGCCGGTGCGGTGGCCGCGGCATGCGGCTGCACTCCTGCTAACACAGCCGCATGCTGCCAGCGCTCCAGAAACTCAAGAGGGCGGCAGCACACCCTCCATGGCCCACACACGCAGCGCGCACCCGCCACCCACCCGCCCGCCCACCCACCGGCTGCTCCTTGGGCAGGTACACGATGGCGACCCCCTTGGCGCCTTCCTTTGCCAGCAGCACCGCCACGGAGCGGCCGATGCCGCTGTCGCCGCCCGTCAGCAGGGCCACCTGCGGCGGGGGCAGGAGCAGGGGGCAGGGGGAGGGGGAGGAAGCGGAGGCCGGGGGCCGCGTCAGAAGGAGGAGGGAGGGGCCCAAACGCACATGTGCATGCAGGCACCGCGCCGCGCAGCGGCCACGGCACCACCGGCGCGAGCGGCAGGGCTGGGCGGCGCGATGCACCAGCGCTGCCTCGCTGTGCTCGTGCTCCGGCTGTGGCGGCGGCTCGTGCGGGCCCCGCTTGTTGGAGCCAACAGGACGAACCCTCCCCTCTGGGGCGCCCCCGCAGCTCACCTTGCCCTTGAGCTTGCCCACGCCGCGGTACGCCTCGAGCGTCAGAACCTCCTGGTCGCCTGCAGGCAGCAGTTGCGTGGTCCCAGCGGCACAGATGCGTGGCGTGGCGGGGGAGCAGCGGCCAGTGCTGGGACAGTGCAGGCCCGGCGGCGAGCGCTGGACCCGCCGCATGCCGGCGCGCCGCCACCCGGCTGCCTGCACTTGGCTGGCGGGCGGGCGGGCGGGCGGGTGCTCAGCTGCAGGCGGCGCTGCGGCCCTCGCTCACCGTGCTGCGTGGGCAGCTGCTCCGACACGGGCTGGGCCCGCAGCTCCTTCTGCAGCCCCGGCTGGCCCTGCTGCACCTGGGAGGTGTCTGGGATCTCGGGGCCCTTGGGCATGCCTGCAACCAGGGGGTGGGGAAGGCTCCAGCAGCGCAGCGCAGGGGCCGGCGGAGAGGTGGGAGGCTGTGGTGCCACCCAACGGGTGGGTGGGTCGGCGGGCGGCGAGGCGAGCGCGTGGGCGCCGCAGGGCACGGCGCTGCAGCCACGGCGCTGCCCCTCGCGTCAGGGCAGCCCGGCAGGCCTTCCAAGGGGGTAGGGCCGGCAGGGCTGGCTGGCAATGCCGGTCCAAGGCAACCTAGCCGCCCGTGCGGTGCTGGGCCTCACCCTTGGTAGCCATGCCTTGTGCCTTGTCACCCATGGCTGCTGTCGGCCTCCTGATCTCAGAAGTGGGCGGGGCTGCTGAGGGTGCCAGGCCTAGAGTGCCAGGAGGGGCAGCACTGGAAAGCAGGACAAGAAAGGAGGATCGCCGCCATGGCTTCTGCCCAGGTCACTCGCATTTGCCATCTCCAGATTGAAACTTACAAACACCTGGTGGCACATCGAAAGGCACCTCCTGACATGATAAGAAGGAATGAACCGAAAGGAAGAGTACGCCCCCAGGCGGCGGCGCCGCCGCCTGAGGGGGCAGCGCTGCCGCCGCTGGGCGGGATGAGCCTGCGGGAGCGCCGGGGGCCTGCGTCTGCCGTCGCCCTGCCGCTGCTGCTGCTGCTGCTGCTGCTGGCCTGTGGCAAGGTACGCCGCCGCCGCCAGACTGTCAAACCGCCCGGGGATGGCTGTGGAAGGAAGGAGGGAGGGGCGGGGGCAGAGCGCGGCGCAGAGGGAGGAGCGGGCCTGGCGAGGGCGGGGCGGCGGCAGGCAGGCAAGACAGGCAGCGGCTGCCGGCTGGCCCGCAGGCCCCGCAACCCACCTGACCGGCGTGCGGCGCCGCTGCCGCGATACGTTCTGCTGCCTGCCGCCGCTCCTGCAGCAGCGCCGCGGCGACGTTGCTGTACACCCCCCTTCGGCACTATGTTGCTAAACAGGAGGTGGGGGGAGTTGGGCGGCACTCCGAGCGCCAGCAGCATGCCGCCAAACGCGGCGCCTGCAGCCGAGGCGCTGGGGCCCGCAGAGAGTCGGGCAAGCCCCTTGGCCTGGTCGCCTTACACCAGCAACGAGGCGCTGTCGCGGTCCTGCAGGCAAACTCGCCACATGGCGTGGAGGCCAAAAACGTCCCTGCAAAAGGCGGGCAGCGGGAGCCGGGCGGCTGGGTCAGGGCGCAAGCAGCGGGGAGGCGGCAGCAGAGAAGAGGAAGGCATGGCCGGCACAACCTGCAGCCCCCTCCCGGGCCCCAGCAACGCACATCAAACTTGGCCTGGAGGCTGGCCGTCACCGGCGGTCGCTCGTGCGGCGCCACGCCCTCCCCCACCGCCTGCTGCAGCTCGCGCTTGCGGCCCCTCAGATTCTCTAGCACCATCTGGCGTAGCGACAGCGCGATTGCGGGGCAGGGCTGGACTGCGGGGTGAGCTGGGCGGGCAAGCAAGCGGCAGGCAGTGCCGGCGCCGGACGGCGCCCGCCGGCCGCACCTGGCGGGCACCGGTTGCTGGTCTCCTGGATCTCCTTCACCGCCAGCATGGCCTGGTCGCCGTGCACCGGCGGCAGGCTGCCTCCCACGGCCACTACGCAAGCCGGGCCAGGGGCCGGCTGATCCTGCACGGCTACAGCTGCGGCATCGCCGGCCTTGAATCTCTGGGTGGAGGGGCGCTCCGGGCCACGGTCGATAAGCTCGGCGCGGCGACCCAGAACGTTGGCCGGGCGCTGCAACATGTTCGCTCGCTCGCTCGTCTGCGCACAGCGCACAGCGGTGCAACTGAAGTAGGCTGCACGCTGAGTGTGCACACTGGACGACTCCCATGAGGATGTGGAAGGACACAAGGACGCTGCCGCCCACCTGACCGGGCGGGACAACAGCCCATCTCGACTTCAGCAGCAAATCGATTCATTTCGGAAAAAGGTGGCAGCAAATGGATCCGGAGGCCTTGCTCATTGCAGTTTTCAGAACTGTGTGCCGTAAATCGGGGCGGGCGCAGCACGCCAGGGGGTCAGAACGGGCGGTCAGAACAGGCGGTCAAGACGCGGCCAATACACCCAGGGCGATGTCCGCCACTTTAT